TATGTCATTAAAGTAAATTAAAAAACAGTTGAACAAAAAACTTTCTTGTCAACGATATTATTCAATCAAGCTGTTTATTTATTTTTATTTTGAATTGACAAATGAATTTTTAGGTTGAAAAATGAAAGATACGATTATACAATAAAAAGTTTGAAAACTCCAGGCTTGTAAAAAAGTAGCATAATCTACGCTAGTCGGTCAGTCAGTCTGCAACATTGTAGAACCTGAAAAGTATGTACATCGGCTTAAGTTGCCGAACCCAAATAGCATAGAAGAATAAAGTTCTCAGGATAAATACCAGAAAAGTAAAGGTAGTAGAAGTATCGGTGGTACTAGAAAGGACTAGTCACAGGAGGTACGATTCAAGAAGAAAATATGAATCAACAGAATAAAAACAATAGAAAAATTATGAGTGATTCAGGAGCCTAGAATCTGAGGAAAGACGAAAAATGGATGCACGTGAGCCGTTGCAAATGATTTTGAGCCACATCATTAAAAGTTCCTAAATATCGGTTTTGATGATCACATAGACCTCAACCACGTAGTCAGTAACCGTTTACACGGCTAAGCCTAAATGCCAATGACCACATCTACTGAGGCTTTGTTTCAATTTGGCCACTCACAGCTTTCGTTTATCTTACTCCTACACCAGAAAACATCGCCTGTCGAGGTAAGCGGTGGTTTGGGGTACATATCACATGTCTCCAACACCTCAGTTGATGAATATTTACTACCTCATCAATCGATTTCCCACTTTTATTTCGTGCTGTCTTCTTAAACCAGGCGTTGACTACTCTATGGTCTTAAATACATGAGCAATGCTTCGTAGACACCCATGATCAAATACCAGTAACCTAAGAATATCCTCTACTCTTAATGGCTATGTTACACATCCACAATGTAGAACGCGACAAACTGCTACTCAGTAAGATCTCCTTTTGTTTGAAAGACGGGCATTTCCCCTACGTCACAAGTGACGCAAGTTATTAAAAGCCGACCGGGCCTTTTGAATTATTGCCAAGATTTTGTCAGATACCAGATTATCAGTACAGATGATAATCCCAAGATAAGGAGAGGGGTCATGTGTTCGAATACTTCACTACCTATCACTAATTTAGAGCGTGACTCAAACCATTACTAAAGTAACTTCTTACATTTGGAAGAAGAGAACCACATCCCAAAAGTTCTCGCATTGTTGTTCAATGTTGTCAGAAGACTTCATCTTATCAGAGTCTTTACTGAATACAACTATATCACCTGTGTATTGTAAGTGAATAGATGAATCTTCTGGTAAGAGATCAACCCCTGAAAAGTCGGAAGACAAAAGTTTTATCCCTAAAAGTATATCTTTGGCAGATTTAAATAGAAGTGGAGAAAGCGGACAACACTGATAAACACCACTTGAGGTAACCGATTCTGATTACAGTTCTCCATAAGCTCTGACTCAATCATTAGTTTTTAAGTAGAGAACCTGTGCAAAATTAATGTACTTCTTTCTGTCACACCTTTTGACGACAGACACTGCCACAGAACTTTCGGATCAACAGAGTCGAACGATGCCTTGAGGTCGAAAGAGACGAATATAGCCTGACTTTGAAAAGTATGTTTATGTTTCAGAACCTACCAAAGGGTATTTACGTCCACATCTAGGTCTGAAACCATAACAGTTTTCTCGGGTTTGCACTTCACGAGTTTTAAATAGAAGTCAAAGTATTACTGTAGCTAATATTTTAGACACTACATTATTCCTCTGTGAGTGGGATGATCAACGATCGAAACTAGTCAGATCGGAGTTTGTCCAGTTTTCAGATTTTAGCTAAGATTTCGGTTAGTCTAACTGCCTAAACTGGACCATCATCCTTTAAAATATCAGAGGTTAGTCCATGAAGCCCTTCTGCTCGCCATCACTTTAGGTTATTTATAGCCACTTTAACCTCACTAAGAGTTGGGGAATTTACATCAATTCACTAGACCTTGTGGAGCAGGTTTTATTAACCGAAGAAACCAAACACTTTCCAAACACATTTTTGAGCATTGTTTTACGTGGCTCGCAAACGTATGATGCAAAACGATCGATGGTTCAATATTGGAACTTCGGTCACGACGCTTTTTCAAATAAAATCTTCATCTTTTTCATACTCATCAAGCATACAGTCAGCTTTATATTATCGTTTTCTAACTTAGCACGTATTACACTACGTTTTTCGATATCTGAAATTTCCAAACTTTCTATCATACAATTGTCTTTTGTTTTTTGAGCAAACCAGTTTATTTCCCGATTCAACGTAGACACGGTTGTAATGCCGTTAATAAAAAAATTTATTCTATGAAATGGCTTTTATTTTTTTATATCACCTAAATTTGGCTTTTAAGGGTGTATGCTATAATGGTAATTACATTGTTTGGGTCATTTTGACTGGAGATAAATTGTTTCCTTGACCTTTAATCCCTTTATATTTAAACGCAAACCTCAAGTTATTCAATCCACATATATATATATCGCATACTGTGTTTACATTTACACAATATATTTACTTTATTTTATTTAGTAGTTGACCAATAGTTTTAAACAACTAAATAATTTGGTTAAAATGGTGTTTAAATTTTTCCATTGTTAACGATAAGAAGTGTAATCATATACCCATTTGAAGTATCTGATTGGATCTTATCAAACTTTTAATTCTTGATAAAAATCACCTTTTGTCTACAAAATGCTTATTTTAGAGGTAATAAAAAAGTTGTTATTCTAAATTTTACAATCGGACATAGTTAAATGATATGCATGATACAATACATGTGATAGACTGTATAGGTTTTGTAGGATTTTGTTATTGATGATATTGATCCTAGTTATGAGTCTTTATTACTGGCTAAAACCTAGAGTCTTGTATGGCCACCCATATGAAGTCAGTATAATAAATATCAGATAATTTCTTAAATAGGCAGAGAAATGAGAGAAAATAAACACCAAACAGTAAAGTTAGGGATAAATTTTAAATCCCGTTTCTCATGACACGCCTCTTAAAAAAACGAGCTACCGATATCTTAGACCAAACAAGTTCATTGGTCTTAATGATATTCATTCTCAAACTATTTGAGATCAGGAGGATACAGCCAATCAGTCACATGTAATTCAAAACCTGACGCATGTGTACCTCTTCAAGTTCTGACTGAGCGTTAGCGCAGCAAGATAAATTTATGAAGATCAATCTCAGAGTAGCAGAGTTGATAACAATATCAGTTTAGAAACGAAAACGTTCAAGAATATATCCGAACTCAGTTTCTAAGGTTAAAAAAGTGAATGTACCTGCGTTCTTGTGAACGATATCGAGCGAAGTTACTTAAAGTATTCAGCTATTGAACGCAATACAATCTACAGACAAATAGCAACCTTGTTTGGTACGTCTCCAAGGTACTTCAAGGCGGAAATAATGTAAAGGCGTTACAAATATTTCAGTCTATAACTAAAAAATAAGCGTTTAGTTGATGATCATCGTTTATTCAGTTCTAATAGTGCTGTTGTCACATTATTCAAATAGGTTATTCGAACAATTACTCCTAATCATATGAAAAAGACTATCCTTAAGAATAAGAGTAATCAATTTTTGTAACAAATCTTTAATGTTTGACAAAATAATTATCAGAAGGGAAGACCAGATTGGCTCCGTGGCTTTTCTAGTGAACAGAAGGGATATATGGTACTAAAGAGTGCTTTATTTTCACGAAAGTCGGTGAAGAATAAGGCTTATAAGTCGGTAATTTGATGCCACCTATTGGTTTTAGTTCGAGTAATTGGTTGACGCAAGGTAGAAAACGTTTCAGTTCTGCTACGTGTGGATGACATCAAAGTCTAAAGATAAATAAAATGAGAGTGACGGGGTTAAAAAATATAGAAAATTTTTTATTTAGTGGACAAAGTGGTGGTTCTTATAAGCCAGCCTCAAAAAAATGTATTAGATGAAGTTGGTTGTTCTGAAGATTCAAATATATGCACAAAAATGAAATATCTTTAGCTTACAATCTGACCTTAATTTATGGATAATAAGGGCCCACGTGTTATGGCTGGTATCGATCTCATAACTATGGATGACTGTTTGGAGACTCTGACGAAGGATTTTGAATATTATAAGCTATTTGTTTAAAACTTCATAATGAAATAATGTCCGAACTATACTGCTCGACGTATATGAGTCAGAAAATGAATATGGGATGCAAACAAGTTCTTGTTTCAAGTATGAAACAAACTTGCTAAAGTGAATTCGACCACGAGAGAAAAGACTACATGTTTTTCTTTCACTTCGTTTTATGAAAGTCAAATGAAAAGCCCTAAATAACCTTCGTTCTATTTCTTTAGGTTAAAAGGTAATTTATAATCGGTTTGTGGTATATAAATCTATTATTTGAAGTTGCTAACTCCTATTATGTATTACCTTCCAGGACCAAAAATTCAAAATAAAATCAAGGAACATTAAAAACAAACATCAAATTGCTGACACTCTTTATATGAGTCACTGATTTCAAACCTTTAAGAAATGCAAGTATTTTCAAAACAGTTGAAATTTATTGTGCACAAATAATAGTAAATGAACGTTTAGAAGAAATAATATAGATATTTTCAGGTTTATGGCCCCTATTTCCTCAAAATATTCCTAAAATTTCTATTTGAACGTCCACAAACTAAGCATCGTTTCCTCACAGTTCACGAACAAGAAATAGGAAAATCATGGAAATATATAAGTGCAAGACCTAACTAATGATCTGCAAATATGCTACCGAATAAACCCAATAAACCAATTACAGGTGACGTTTGGGTAGTTTCATGTAATGCTAGAAAATCAGTTTCAAGATTCAAAGAGTTAAGTATTACCCAAGAATTTTTTTAAATAATTTTTGTATAACTGTTTATTAATGTAACCAAAACCGACCAGTTGTTTTTTACCACAAAAAAGGGTTTGGGAAAAAACGGGTAAAATGTTCTACTCATAGAGCTATTTGCTTACCCCAAACAATTCCAGAAATGTAATTATTAAGGGCTTCCTCAATAGTAAAACGATAACTTTTATCTGACAGAAATAAAGTATTCCTGGCATCAAAATGTAAAATTAGTTTTCTTCGTGGCTTCTCATCGGCCATTTAAAATGCGCGCAGTTTCGAAACGTCTGGCAATCAGCCTTGAAATACTATTTGTTTAGCCGTTCAAAACAACAGTACATAAATGTTGAGCTTGTCACTGTTCATGCTTATCGATTAACTTCTTTGTGCTTACTAATTGTTTAAGTTACATACTTTTTTCATTTATTATGATGAAGCTGAGGTTATTTACCATGTTTATTATAAGTGTATTTTGTCTAGACTTAGTTGTATAATGACATATTATAATTTGTAAATTACTAGTCAGACGTCTTATCTGAAATCAAACTAATCAATTCCCACAAACCGTGTAAATTCCTGATCGTCATAGGAAGTCACAAAATCTGCCTGAAAACTTGGTGTTATTCTTTAGTCGTTTAAAAATCCCAATCATATTAAAAGACTAATATTTGAACGAAGAATATTCTTTTCGATAAATTCTCTTCAGGTTCTACAATTATATATCCAAATTATTAATCCGAAAAATTGGCCAGGTTAAAGGCAAAGTACATAGTTTAAAGCATGTAAATTTAGGATTGTCAAACCAAATAGTTAATGTTGATATGACTCATATAGAATGTTAACTTGAATCTGTATATACGTAAAATGAAAATTTAAGATCTGTGATCAGAATATAAATATGGGTCAGATAGGGTGAGAGAGATATGATAGTGCAATTACAATTCGATCAAGTGGAAGACTAAATGTGTGAAAAATTAGTGAGACGTAATAAGGAGGGATCAATGCGATGTGAATGAATCATGTTTAGGGGGGATTAATAATGATATTTAACCAATAATAATAATAATTCTAATAATAATAATAATAATAATAATAAAAAATAGAAAGATTTGTGAATAAAGATAAGAGACAATTACATTTGACTACGAAAGGTCGTAAGTACAGAGTCAAATTAGGTCATACAATAGCTAAGATGATTGTTCATTAATTGACCTTGTGGTTGGCCAAGGGAGAAGTAGGGGTTGGAGATATTTCTTCTGTACACATAGCTCAGGTTTCTTCATTCTGATGGCTACTGCCTCCGCCGTTTGAAGGACTTTAAGCCTGACAAGCTTAGGCAAAAAATTACTGACCCTATAAATAATTGAAAAAGATTGGTTTATACTGGCACTATGACCAGTTTGTACTAAATGGGCCAAAATCGAGCTGTTTACTTTCCTCATCAGACCTTTGCTTAGCCACGCTGGGAGGTGTTCACGAGCACGAAAATGTAAATTCCTAGAACTTCGACCATTATAACTTGCTCCACAGGAGCAGTCGAACTGATAAATACAAAATGAAGTGGTCATTCTAGGAACTTCATCTTTAAGCCTCGGTGTCACCATTGGACGCGTAGAAAACACCAAACGTAGTTCACCTGCGTTGAAAGATTTTTGGATAGATCTGCGTAATCTCTGAGCAAGTATTTCGCCAGCGGCATCCCCCCTGAATTGTAGGCGCATGAACAAGGACTTTTTCTTGACCGTTTGGAATTCGCCTATTTTCACTTTAAAGATCATATATTTAATTATAAATTTTCTGGGATACCCGTTCTCCCTTAGAGCATTATGCAATGTGTTTATCTCATTGTCAACTACATCCGCCGAACATATAGTGCGTATTCGGTAGCTAAGGGTTTTGATTAGGTTTCGTTTGTACTGTAGAGGTACAAAGCTTAGGAAGTGTGTATACTGTCCAGTCCAAGTACTTTTTCTGTTCATGTTTCTTCTTAACGATCCATCAGATCTCTTAGTTAAGAGGACGTCTAAAAAGGCTAATCGGCCATCACTCTCTTCCTCCGATGTAAACTGGATGGCTGGATGCACTTCGTTAAACTGCCTAAGCACATCTTGTTGTGAAATATTATCTTTACACAGGATGAATGTGTCATCCATATATCTGCAGTAAAATTTGAATTCTTGAATAATCTTTTTCAGATGACCGTTCTCTAATTTAGCTAGAAATATATCAGCTAGTATAGGGCCCAAAGGTGAACCCATTGCCACACCATCTGTTTGTCTAAATATGTCACCGTTGAATTTGAAATTTACATTCATGGTGCATTTCAGTAATAACTCTTTCAAGACATTAATCGGAACAGTAGTTTCAATTTTATTTTCAATCAGTTGTTCCCCTATATATTCTACGGTCTCAAGAAGTGGGACATTCGTGAATAGTGATGTTACATCCAAAGACATCATCTTTTGTCCCAAAGTATTGACATTTTTTACTTTATCAACAAATTGAAATACATCCTTAACACTATGTTTTACCAGCTTTTCGTGGAGAGGTTTCAATAAAGTTACCAACCATTTAGCTATAGTATGATAAGGAGAGTTATACATATCTAAAATAGGTCTTAATGGGATCCCCGGTTTGTGTACCTTTGGTAATCCATACAGTCTTGGCAGATAGGTTCCAACTGGTTTAATCATTTCATATAGACCAGACGAAATAGTCTGGTTGTCTCTGAGCTTCTTCAAAGAACTAGTAAGCTCCTTCTCTATTTTCATATTGAGATCTTTATGGTTAGTTATTTTTTGGAATTTCAACTTGTCATTTAAGATGGTCCCCATTTTATCAATATATATATACATTTAGTCTTCCACTTGATCGAATTGTAATTGCACTATCATATCTCTCTCACCCTATCTGACCCATATTTATATTCTGATCACAGATCTTAAATTTTCATTTTACGTATATACAGATTCAAGTTATTCTTTAGGTTAGATTTTCAGTCAGCCTTAATTTAAAGTGTGAATACTTGCTTCCTCTTATCAACCACTTTCATGCCTAAAGACAAACGTATCTTATGTGATTTTATAGTTGTCTACTAACTTCCTTAGCAATGCAGATCCCTTCAAATATATATCCTTGTACACTCCGTCAGTGCATGACCTACGTTCAGGCTATATTTGAAATCTATTTTCAGCTATCAACTTCGACAGCCCGAAGAATTTTGACCTACAAAATCGTGCTAGCCAAATACTTTTCTCCCAGAGCTATCATACATGGAAATAGATTTTTTCGCTAGATAAACAAGTTCGGAAGCTCATTTTCTGTACCTAATTATCTCTCATGAAAGACCGATATTGAGGTAATATTCTAAATTTTGAAACCTTTGTTTAAGAAGAACACCTCCAAAATTCATTTCATATTGATATTATTGCGACACATGGCTTCCGGTATTAGTCAAAAAGAATTCTTGCTTCTTGGTCAGAAACCGCATGCAACGGAATGCAGAGTAAAAAATTCTGAAGTGATCCAAAGTTCTTCATTTAAACTATTTATAATCCTTCATCATTTCTGGGTTACATGTCTTGAAATGTTGTCGTTGTTTTTAGTGTCATTCCTTCTGTTTGGATAAATAAAGTTTCATGCAAGATTTCAGATCATCGACTAAAAGGAGGACTACAATAAAACACTTTTGTAAAATATGCGGATGACCTCACTGTATGTATGCCAATTTCTACCTCCTTACATCCCATAGAAATGAATGAGTTTTTATCTCGTATTGAAAGGTGGTGGTTTGGTAATGGTCTCTTACTCAATCCATCTAAATGTCAAGCTGTCAACTTTAGCTTGAGACATGGACAGAAGATATACTCTATTTTGGGATCCCATAATGCTTGTGCCATTGGAGACTCCTGAATAAACAAAGTGTCGAAGGTCAAATATCTTAGTGTCATTTTTCCTCTGATCTTTCTTGGTCTTCTCATGTTTTACTGTTATCGAAAAAAGATTACTATTGACATACTACATAAAGAGGCTGCATGTTTTTGGGATTACTCGCCATTTACTCATACAATTTGTAAATTCCTGCATATTACCCATTATTCTATATTGTTCTCCATTCTTCTTTCCTGGGCTTTTGAGAAAAGACTTTGCTGTTTTGCGTAGAGTGCTGAAGACGGTTTGCAAGGTATGTGGTGAATCTTTTGAAGTTATTATTAATGTGCTTGTGGATAGACATCTTAAGTCTTGCAAACTCTTGACAGGTGTTATCTTATCAGATACTAACCATACGCTTCATTCATATCTTTCACCTAATATATCTTCTGGTAGAACGAGACGTAAATACATTAAAATCCATACACGCAAGCAACTCTATAAAAGTTCTGTAATACCTTACCTGGCAAATTTATTTTGTGACGAACAGGCTGTTGGAGTTGACCTAGTAAATAACCTGTATTCTTAAGCACGTCTCAAATTCGATAATTTGTATAAAGTCAGTTTTTTCCTAAACCTATTTTTATTCTTTTTCTGTTTTTTTTTCGGTAAAAACTTGTCGAAATAACTCGTGCTGAGAATTCTATATTGTATCAGATTATAATATTGAATAAAGTCATTAATATTAATAATCTTATTGATTACTGCGATCAACATCATTCACAATAATTATCCTAAAAAGCTTACTGACAAACACTATTTTTTGATTACAGTTAAGAGATTCACATAAACTTAAACTACTTTGGTTTTTTGATAGGTTGGTCGTTTAATCTGCTCACTTATATAACCTCAAGTAATATCAAGATAATCGACTTCTTTATGGTAACATAAGTACGCATTTTCTCAGGTTGCACAGAGACTTAATGTAATCTCCAGAAGAACCCCTTTTTAAGACAACTAACATCATAAGTAGAGCTTGTGCAACGTATCTTTTTTATTCATGTTAAATGTATTGTTTTATCTCTTTTAGAAACGCCAAACATCATATTGCTTATCTTCACGATATGACGAGTCAGAATAGAGAATGATGTGATGATGTAACACATCATTAGATATCTACAATTTTGAGAATATGTCTATTATTATAGCAGTACTAATAGCGAATTAGACCACAGTTTAGAAGACTTTCTTGATTTCTTTCCATTACGAATAATAATAATAATATATTTCTGCAATAGCAGGTACACGCCATTTTTACAGGCATGATCTACAATTTACAACATATACCAGTTCACGGTATGCATCCCAAGCAAGGTTGTTTATTAATTATAATCTATAAAAGTTGACAGCAATTCATTCGTTCAGATATAATGTATTTTCATAAGAATAGTTTCCAAAGGGGCATCGCGTCCACGTTACATACCA